ATATATATATATATATATATGTATATGTATGTGTATAACAGGAATATTTTTTTCTTGTTATATTCAAATTTGTACAATTGCTATAATAATCGTCATGCAACATCATTAAAAAAAATAATGATTATATTTTATTTTTCTCATGATTTATGAATTGCTATTTTTTTTACAATAGATCGATTTAAATTTAGTTCTATTAGTAAAGTTAATACAATTATAAAACAGTTTTTATAATTTTCTTTTTTAATCTCATTCAGTAATTAAAAAATGTTAAATTTGCGTACGAATTTATACCCTTACATATGTAAATGTATCTTGAATGTAATTGTGTTTGCATCCAAATTTCTTAAACAACTTATCTGTATGTAAATAATCATTTACACATATATTATAAGTATGTGGCAAAATATTTAATTGAGATGATTTTATTACACTCCTCAAATTATGCCTCTAAATTTCTACGATATCAGGTTGTCAGATGTTGGTGTATCCGGCGGCATTCAATATGACCACTGGCCCGCTGCATTGGTCACTGCTACAGCGTGCCAGAGCAAACGACAATCAATTATATGTAGCCTGTGTGTCACCGGCACGTGGCTCGCCGCCTGGATACGTTGCTTGGGGGCATACTCAGTTAACCAATCCTTGGGGAGAAATACTTGGCGAGCTGAATGCCGTCGAGGATATGATAGTCTTTGATATAGGTAAATTTATTTTCCAATAGAATAACAACTAAACGGCACAATTTGCAAGTTACAATTCAGAATATATATTTAATAAAAATTAAATATTTTCTATGTGGTAAAAAGAAATATCTTTTAAATTGCAATCATTAATTATTGTGTTTGAACAGCTGCATACATTCTTTTACTTCTTCAATACGTGCAATTAATAGAAATATTATATACTTTATTATATACTTACAATTAGTACGAAAAAACGTCAAACAAAATATACAACTGTATATAAAATATAAATATACGTATAAATTAGGCGACATAAAAAATTTATATATAAATCTATACATTTATAACATTGGCATCTTAATAACAATATATAATTGTACTTTACATCAAAATAATACATTATTACAGATTTAAAAATTGTGAATGAAGTCAGAGAGCAAATCCCGATTTTTAATCAACGTCGTACAGACCTATATGACACTATTTGGAAAAAAGAAAATTAGGAAGATATGATGATGATGATAATGTTCATACATCATTAAGTAATTTCTCGTATGTCTCGTTATAGGCAATCCTATATGATGATTAACTATTTATGGGTAAGGGCTTTCAATTTTACATTCTCGAATACTTTATAGATAAGTATTTTTGTATCTACACGTGTTGTAAAGATACATGCGATACGATTGTAAATAATATATAATTGCCGGCAGAAATCTTATGAATAAACTTTATTTGATGTACAAATTTTTACTTTTGTCTTATTATTAAATCTATTGACATACTTTTTTGTTATTCGAGGGAATTAAAGAAAGATTGGTCCATCTAAGATCATATTCAAATTTGTTTACTATTTTGGATTAAATTTTATTGTAAGTTCATAATATGGATATTCTAAATGATATTCACTCATACATAAAAGGCCTCTTGCTTATTACATGATATAACTATGTGAAAAGTACATATTGTAATGTTAAAGCTATCCTCTTATTTACACACATGTGTGTAAATGTTACACACACGCGCGTGTGTGTGTGTGTGTGTGTGTGTGTGTGTGTGTCGTTTTTCTTTTTCAAAAGAGTTACACCAGTTTTTATAAATAAGTTTAAAAGAATTGGCTGATTAATAATTCTTTTTACTGGATTGGAACAAGTTATAATAGAGAAAGAAGAGAGAGTAAAAATATTGGTAAGGTGCGCTTTTAGGAAAAGTGTCATTTTATATTTCTCATCAGCCAAGGATGTCATTATCGTCCCGTCAAAATGAGACGATAAAAGTTAAATAAATTCGATTCAAAATTTATTATCATACATGGCTCGGAGATACATAATGTATAATATCTAAACATGAAATCCTTTATATTTTTTTTTTAAAATATTTAGAAAGTGATACAAGTATATTTTAATTTAAATACTTGAGCATATCCGCGAAGCATCGAAAAATTTTGCAAACTTTTTTTAAAACTTTTAAAAAAAAAAGTTTTTTTTTTGAACAAATCAACATTATTGTATTAAAAATTAGATCACATCCGAGCCAAGTATCGCATACTATAAACGTATCTATTGTAGAGATGTGTAATACGCGAATCAATGGTAAAAGTACACGTATCGCACATCCTTAATCCATTGTATATAAGCTATAACTATTTAATCTTAAAGATTTTTTTTATTGCACTCACTCAACAAAAGGCTTCAATAGCACCAGAATTTGGCCTTGATTTTTGCGCAAAACTTAGACAATGCGCTTATATAAAATTCAAATGCAATTCGGGATTAGTCCGCCTTTAGTATTGAGAGCGGCTCAATTGAGATGTTTAGTATCTCAAATTGACGCGATTGAAAGATTGCCTTCAACGCTTGAATGTGACATAAATATTAGGTAATAAGTGAGTAGTTAACAATGGAGACATATTACAAATGATTATTAAAGTAATCGTGCGAAAATGTGAATTTCCATGTAATCGAAAGATATATCTGCGAAATAAGAAATATATAAATTATTATATCATAAACAATTCGGGTCAGTATTAAGTTCGCGCCGGATTATTTGAATGCGCCTTATTCGCAAATACTCTTTATGACAGAATTTTAGATTATAAGTCATACATAACATTATTATTCGTGTTACCTACAATCTCATAATTTTCTCTTATGACTTCTCGCGCAGTCCAAGATTATAGAACATTTTTATTAGCATTAACAATAATTAAATATAACGTACGTTTGTAGAATCTTAAGGATAAATATCATTTAAAAGAATAATAATAATTCTTCTATATAACAATTTTTTTTATATAGAACTCTTTATATAGAACATTACTTTTACATAGTAAATAGAATTTCCACATAATTAATCGATTATAAATATAACATTAATCAATATATTATTATTAGATAATTATTACTATCGCCATCCTTAACGTGATTACGGTTGTTTCTTCATCTTTGTCTCCAATTTTTGAAAGGGTCGGGTTACTTTCGTCAGAGACATTCACAGCACTAAACCTCTGAGATTCACAAAGTTATTATGTAATCCAAGGACAAGGGCAATAATCAAACGCCGTAAAAGTATATCACAGGTAAGCATACGTGCGCAATTACTGGAATATGTAGTGTCGCATTATTGCAGACTCGCGAATATTATAATATTTATAATATATAGCGTTATGTTCCTTACAGAAATGACTTATAATAGCACCGTATTTTCATTTGCACATATTTTCTTTTGTCGTGAAAAGAGCGCATCAAGAAAGCACATTCGCGTGTGTATGTTATATTATATAATTTGTATGGCCCCATGTTGCTCTGTTTTATAAATGTACTGGCATTAGAATACTGTGTCACATTTTGTTAAAAGTAGTCAATTTTTTTTTTTTTAGATAGTTCCCAA